CACAGGAAGAAGTAGGAAGAGGACTGTTGTGTTGTGAAGACTACAATCAATACTATGGAAAAAATGTTATGAGTTTTTTAATTGAAAGCCAGATCAAAAAAAGCATCTTAAAAATCGGTTAAGAAGTTTTTTTTACAGTAATGGTTTACACCATTTGTCCTTATGGGACTGAGTTATGAGTTAGTTCACTCAGCATAATGCTCTCCAGTCCCTCCCAAGTTAGATAGCAATTTACAAAATTATTGCTTCTGCATGCTGCGTAGTATTCCATTGTGTGAAGGTACCATAATTTCTCAATCCATTTGATTGTGGTTGGACATCTATCTGGGCTATTTCCATGTTCTTGCGATGGTGAATAACACTGCTATGAACACTGGTGTACAAGTGTCCATTTGCACCTCAGTTCTCATTTTCTCAGGGTATATTCCAAGCAGTGGAATAGCTGGGTCATATGGAATTTCTATGTTCAGCTTTTTAAGGAAGCTCTACATTGCCTTCTAGAGTGGCTGTACCGTTTTACAATCCCACCAACAATATATAAGAGTCCCTATCTCACCACATCCTCTGTATACTATATAAAACCATTAGTGCAGAATGAATATGAGGATGGGGCGTGGGGGGAAAGAGAGGGGTGAGGATAGGTGGGAGGCAGAGGGTTTGTTAATCATAGAATCGGCCAATCTGATGGGGGGGGGAGGTGAGGGGTGAAAGAAATGGAAAAGATCCAGTGTGAAAACCAATGTATTTGAACTTTGTAAATAAACCAGAAAAAAACCAGAGTAGTTTTTCAAATCTGACTGGCCTTTTTCTAAGTCCCCCTCTGTCTTCTGCTTTATAAACAAGAATTTGTGAAAACCAGAAGCAGAATACCAAGGAGAACTTCTGGGATCCTTCCAATATTCCTTGTCTCATACTGGGTGAGTAATGAAAACTACAAGAAGCCAAGGAGAGGTGGAAGTGGGTGATTTGGGGGTGCTGATAATTCCTCACAGCTCCAGTGACTAGACATTCTCCAGCTCAGCTAGGCTCTGATTCCAAGACAGGATTCAAACTGAGCAAAAATCAGCATCTGAAAACCAGATCAGCTTTAGCTTTGTTAATAATTAAACAATGCACAAAATGGTAAGAAAAACTCCTGTATTATATTTTATATTTCTCCTTGTATTGAGTATTTATGTTACCATTAAGTTGAACACAAAGATATGAGATTCTGTTAAAAACTCACAAGGATATCTGTGTTGTTGTTGTTAAGTGAGACTCAAAGTGACCCTATGAATGAAAGTCCTCAACACTTGTGTTACTTTTATCCTTTCTCTGGGTTCATAGGGTTTCTGAAGGCAAGCTATTATGGAAGTGGGTGTCACTCCTGCTTCCATGCTTGTTTTAATAGGGGAGCTCCACCAAACACTGTCCGCCATGGGTAAACCATTAACACATTTGGCACATCAGTATTACAGTGTTCAGCTTCACAGCAACCACAAGTTATCTCTGTATGGCAAGTGGACACACCGGAGCTATCTACAGTCAGACTAAAAAGACACACACACACACACACACACACACACGGCATTATATCCACAAAGAGGAAGTACACACCAACTGCAAAGTCTTTTTTTCTTTTGAATGAATGACTAAATTGCTAACCTCTTAAATCATCAGAGTAAGATAATAAAAACAAAAATAAAAAGAACAAATTATTTATAATTTGATTAAATACTCTCTCACAGAGTCCACAAAATTATTGTCAAAATTCTTATCTGAAATAAACAATTTATTTAACTCATGATATTTACTTTTGCCAAAGACAATTTTCAATAATAAAGAAAACAGAAGCTTATTTTATGTCTACTGTATTATGCAACTTATAAAATGAAGTTTTTAAGACAGTCTTAGAATCTCCTAAAATTTAAGAGACACTCCTTGGTTTGGGGTTACTAGATGAAAAATGTTTAATTTTGATTTAATCACCTGTGATTTAACACTCATCAATAAACACAAGCAAAAAACCAGTCAGTTCAGCATAAACTATCAGAAAACATGTGTGCTCTGATTGTATCTTTCCACCATTCCTATTTAATTTATATCTAAGCAAATAATTCGGTAAGCTGAACTTTATGACAAAGAGTATGAAATCTGGGTTAGAGACTTATCAACAACCTGTGATAAACAGATGATACAACTTGGCTTGCAGAAAGTGAAGAGAATCTGAAGCACTGACTAAAGAAAATAAAAAGACTGTAGCCTTCGGCATGGATTATACCTCAACATAAAGAAAGCAAAAATCCTCACAGCTGGATCAAAAGGCAACATCATGACAGATGGAGAAAATACTGTAATTGTCATTTCCTTTTACTTGAACCTATACTCAACACCACAAAATCAGTGGTTAAGAAAGCACATGACATATTGCATTGGACAAGTATATTGTCAAGGGCCTCTTACAAGTATTAATGAGTAAGCGTGTCAGTTCAAAGAGTAAGGTGAACTTAATCCAAACGACAGTATTCTCAGTTTCATAAACGCATGTAAAAATTGTGCAATGAGTAAGGAAAACCAATTGGCTCAGGGCAGAATCTACACCCTTGAATTCCAGTACTGGTGAGGCATATAGACTATACCATTTGGACTGCCAACCAACCAAATAAATCTGTCATAAAAGAAGTGCAACCAGAGGAATCCTTGTTGCTTTTAGGTGCTGTCAAGTATGATTCAGAGAGACCTTGGGAACAACAGATCTGAATCCTGTCCTTTCCTGTATCATCCCCACAATCTGTGACAAACTTGAACCCACTTCTTAAAGTCTCCGTGTCAATTCATCTCATTAAAGTCCTCCTCTTTTGCTTACCCTCCACCTTTGTAAGTATGAGACCATCCTCAAAGGAATAGACTCCCCTAGAAACATGCCCAAAGGATGTGGGACAAAGCTTTGTCATCTTTGACTCCAAGACACATTCTGGCTGCACTTTTTTTGACATGCTTCAACTAACAGTTGCAGATCTGGACATGCTTACCAGTTTATGCCAGGAAATTAGGAACACAGCTACTTGGCCAACTGACTAACAGAGATCCGTATTTGTTCCCATTCCTGAGAAAGGTAACCCAACAGTGTACTCCACAGAAGCAAAAATGGCTGTACTTTGTATCATCTACATGACACATACTGTCAGGAGAAGCCAGTTCTTGACAGGTGATTTCATGCTGGAAAGGGGAGCTGGAAAGAGAGCAGGGTCGGCAAAGGAGAGGAAGACTCTCGTCAAGACGGACTGACACAGTGATGCCAACAACAGGTTTAAAACTGTAGTGTTTGTGAGGGTGGTGTAAGATCAGGCAGATTTCAATTCATGGTACACAGACTTGCTATGAATCAGAGTCTGGTTAATGGCACCTAACAACCAATAACTAACAAAACTAAATAACAGATGAAGGGGGTCTGGCGGAATAGTTCATAGTATGTTCTGTCACTATTTTGGAAGGTGGCAATTCAAATCCACCAGCTGCTTCATGGAAACAAGATGGGAAGAATTAACCCATAAAGTTTCCCAGCCTTAGAAACCCACTGGAGGGTCGCTATGAGTTGGAAAAGCCCAAGTTGAAATGTACAATTTTTTTAATATACTGAATATACATTGTTGTTGTGGTTGTTCTGTGCCATTAAGTCAGAACCTGCTCACCGCTGACCCTCCGGCTGGTCTTCAGACACAGCATATTGCACAGAAGGATGCTGCCCATCTTTCCCTGAGGGACAGCTAGCTGGTGGATTCAAACCATATGCTTTTGGATTGGCAGTGCAACTCCTTACCCACTAGGCCACCAGAGCTCCCAATACACATTAGTAACAAATTATTTAAAATATAAATAAAAAACAAATTGAGGCGCCATGTGAGACTATTTCTCTAATAATACATTTAAAAACCATTAGTGCTACCATAGTACCATTATGTAGTGGTTCAGAAATAAATTGAGACTCACTCTTACCAGATGTGTGAGCTTAAATGTCTGTGGATTGTTATAACTTCTCCCTCAGGGTTATGCTTAGTATTAAATGAAATAATATATGGATGATTCAGAGGATATTTACTATCTGTTGCATTATATGTATTTGACAACAATTTTGATAATCAAGTTGAAGATAAGGGAAATTATGAGCAGTAGAGTGTTTTGAGAAGCTATAGTGGAGAGAAACACATGAAAATCTCCCTCTCAAATTTCATCTGGGAGGTACAATAATGTGAAAAGAACTCTCCCTTGTAAGGCAGGCTGAGCCAGCATCGCTTTGGGTCACGGAAGTGGTTGAATTCATCTCTCCTGGCCCCAGTTCAGTTCACACATCTGTTCAGTGAGGAAGGGGCATGATCTTCTAGCTCTAACCTCTAATTTTCTCATGGTTCTCAGGGCAAGCTCCCATCTAGGAAGAGGGCTGACGGAACATTCAGCACTAATCAAGAATTAGAGTTGCAGTAGTTAGTTGATGTTTTATTTCATATTTTTAAAATAAAGAGCCCATTCACATTCAGCTTTCAGTGGAAGACATTAACACTGCTGTGCCTGCCTTTCCCAAGGAAAACACCATGAGGAGCAGCTGCCTTCTCATTCTTCCCAAGGACAGGCTTTGTGGGGGAATCAAACACCAAGAGAACTTATATTTCAGCTAGTCTAATTTTTTTCCCCTCTCTCAAACACACCACTTTTAATTTTGGTTAGTCTTTCATATAATTCTAACTCTGTAGTAGTAAACAAAAATAGAAGCACAAAACATTCAGAAAATGTTATCAGTCAGTAGTTCTGAACTGTCACAGTAGTCATACAGTCGGAGCCGAGGTCACTCTCATCTTAAGAACACGCAGCTCACCCGTTCTCAGTGGAATCCACTCTCTGGCAGTAGAAAGGCAATGGTGAGGCTTATTTTGTGCAAAATGTATTTACCCGAAAACACCTTTTTTCTTTGTTGGCCCTTCTCCCCCTCAAATGGTTCATTCTCTCTCTTTCTTCTTTTTTTTCCATTAAAAGTGCAATAAGAGCCAAAGGGGCTTTTCATTACCAAAATAAAACTATCTATATATAGCATCCATTTCTTGGTAAACATTGCGGGTAGAGTCCTTCAGAATTAGTAAGTCATCTAAAATTCTTAAGAAAAAGTATCCCACTTGCACACTCAAAGCACAAACTTAGAGTTCACAGTACAAGGCTCTGTGGTATAAAGTGCCTATGAGTAGCTTCCCATCATATACTGTGGCCACAGAACTTCCCTGAAGAACAGATCCATTGTTGGCATAAACTGTTGTCACTGTAGGTTTCTCAGTCAGAATATTCTGGATGCGGAGAACCTGTACAGGAGATACAAAGGATTAATATAGAGCTCCCACAGGCCATGTCACTCCCTCACCAACAACCCTTCTTCCACATGACACAATGCTTAAGAAGACTTGTGTTGAAAACATCAAAGTTATCAATCTCTTTACTGTTTAAAATTGAAGTACTTTCTCAAATCTTCAAAGTAATTTCTTAAATCATCTACTTATCCTATGAAAATATAGGGTTTAGCATTATCATAGCTATTCAGCATTCATAAATATACTCCCACAAAAACTTATGTACTTTAACACTACTTTAACAGTAAGAAAAATCCTATCATAGGGTGACTTGACAATCAATCAGGTATTTCAAAAACTGCCAGTGTGCCATGTGGGAAGGGCATGCCTTTGTAAAAATGCCTTTTGATTAAGCTTCTACTATCATTTATTATATCAAGAGATTTTTCATAAAGAATGTGAACAATGCTAAAATCTGCCAATTATTGGCTTAAGGCAATTACAAAACCACTACATAATGGTTTACTGTGTTCTCAGTTCAAAAGGACTAAACAAACCACCCCTAACAAGTGCACTGTGCTATTAGTTCACAGGACCTGAATAATTAAGCTTGAAAAATTAAAAATATAAAAACCTCAGATGAAGGAGGATTGTTGGGATCATACACGAAGAGCTTCTGGCCATTGGAATGGCAGCCGACCCAGATGTCCCCAGAGGAAGGATCTGTAGATAAATTATCCACCAGTGTATCCAACTTGAGCACCTTCCAAATGAAGAAAACATCAGTATCTAATGACACTAAGAGACTGGATCAAATAATTTAGGTCAAACCTTTGTTGCCTCTATGCATGCAGGGAAACTACACACATCTCCTTGCCTCTAGCTTTCTGGTCTCTGCATTGCTTAAAATAAAATTAATAAGCTGGTTTGCAGCCACTTTTCATCTTCCTTGAAATTAAAGAAGTTAGGGTGCTAATCAATCTATCTAAATGTCTCTCTTAAAAAAAAAAAAGAACTCTTTCTCTCTCAAAAGATGCACAATGACCACTTTCGCTCAAGGAACTCACTCAAAGCAAGACAGGAAATTCTTAATCAAGCTAAAATATGTGTTGTCGCGCAGGAAGAAAATAATCATGGTGTAGAACTCAATTTCTACCCTCATTTATTATTGAAAGAACTGGCAACATGCATATACCTTCATTGGAGAACTCACCTATTAGTCTTTTCAATTGTGGAAATTCTTACTGGAATTCATTGCTTACCACCAGTACTTAATAGAATGAGCCCTAAATCTGACGCAAACATCCCTAATTACCTGCTGCATGTAATCAGAATCATGGTTGGGAACAGGAAGATTTCTTTAGCTGGAAGATGATAATGTTAAAACAATAACAATAACAAAAACTCATCTAGCACCCATATTTTATTCTAAGGAGTTGATTAAATCTATTACACCTCTGATATCCCCAAACATGATAAATGAACATCCCCTTTACATATAAAATGTATTACCTTCAGCTGAGTTAAATTCATACTCGGGTGTTTTTCAAAAACATGAATTTCATGAGCCAATATGTCAGCAACATAGATGTACCTTTGCAGAGAGAACGAGCTGGTAAGAAACTCATGTCAGTATAAAGCTTCATTAATAAACTATGTAAAAATAGGTTAAAAAATATGCCAAGAAGGTAATCAATGGTGGACCCTCAAGAATGTCTAGTAAAGGTCAGTTTTTATTTAAAAAGTAAGCTTTCAGAATATATTCAGTGTTGCAAGACAAATCAGGAAATTGCTAAAACTTAGTTCAAATGGTATAGTAAATAAAAGTATGTGATGATTTTTAACACAAAGTTTACAAAATTTGTCCTTCAAAGGATAATAAAACAATTAGGTTCTGACTTCATTTAAAAAAAAAAAAAGATCTAAATTCCACACTAGAATTTTCTATCCTGAGGCATCAATAACTTGTAAAAATACATACTCCTCATACACATTTTATTAAACCATTCACATAATGAGATTTTAAAGAGATGAGCATCTATTTTGAATAATCTGTCTATATCTAGATGGGGATAAATTCCTGGCCTGTTTTAGGGAATTTTACTTATCTAATTTATTGTTTCCTAAGCATCTTGTGAGTACGTTTCATGTGTAAAGCTGTAAACTCAATGTTGGCAAAAGCAAAAGCAAGAGCAAGACACAGCCTCTGCCCTCAAGAGTTTTATGATGTGCTGGGAAGATCTGACTGGTTTACATACATTAAACAGTTTACACAGTATGACCATGTTTAAGTAATTGAGAAATTGGATCAATATCTAGATCTAGAAAGCCAGAAGGGTTCAAAAAAGAGGAAGTATTTGCACAGAATATGGAAATAACAGTGTGGATTTGAGCAGAGAGTTAATATGCAGTAATGGACTTTTAGGCAGAAGAAAACATGCACAGAAGCACACAGGGACAGGCAGAACAAGGAGGCATGTCTGTAAAATAAGGAGTTCTTTGTGTGAATCATGCGAGGCCTGGGAACGGGAGAAAGTGAAGGCTGGAGCCAGCCTCTTAAGAAGTCTAACTCTTTAGCCTGCCTTAATTTGATTAGTAACCGGACTCCATGGAATTTTTAGAATAAGGAAGTGGCATCATGACAAATTATCAAACGTGTCCAACAGCTAGCAAGCATTTGCTCTGTACCCGGCACTGGGCACTGGTATGATGAGCCAAAAATGAAGACAACAGAACACCCTTTTGTGGAATGTTACAAAAAGACAGACTTGGCAACAGTGCAAAACAATGGAAAGAGACACGACACGACCTGGAGGAAAGCTGACACCTGCGGGGTAGCGAGGATGCCAAGCAGATGTCAGGGGAAAGGAAAGGAGGGTGAACCAGGAGGACTTTTTAATTTGTTAGTTGTGATGTCAAAGAGAAGGAGGTGAAGCTGCTTTACCCCCACACTATTTATTATTATTACTACTTTAGCTTGGTTGACAGGAAAGTCTGACTCTCATACAGAAATATGATAAACTGGGAGCTGAACAGGTTTAGCCGGATAGGGTGGCCCAGATATCAGTTATCAACTATTCAAACGATTCTGCATAGGGAAATTTAGTTGTTAGGACTATCAAGTTTATTTTGTTTTATTTTCTAAGTACTTAAAACTGTCCCAGTCACTAAGGTAGTAATAGAGAAAGTAAAGAGTTTAACATCCTTTCTTATAAGCTATGGTTGTTGTTAAGTGCTGTCAAGTTGATTACGACTCATAGTGACCCTTGGAACAGTGGATGTGAACCTGCCCTAACCTGTGCCATCTGCATCATCTGTGACACACCTGAGCCCACTGTTACAGTCACTGCATCAATCTACCTCTTTCAAGGTCTTCCCCTCCTGTGCTCTGGTGGCTAAGTGGTAAGGAATTGTGCTGTCAACCCAAAGGTATGTGGTTTGAAACCATTAGCTGCTCCCTGAGAGAAAGATGAACAGTATCTTCCTGTGCAATTTCCTGCCCTGAAAACCTACTGGAGGGTCAGCTATGAGTTGGTTCCAACTCTAGGGTACTGAACAACAGCAGCAGCTAAGGCTGGGCATATAAAAACAGAAAATTTGACAGTGATCTGCCAATATCTATGATGATGGTGGTTTTGGCACTATCTATTAAAGTTGGATTCTTGGGGTTTATTCTTTAGAAATGCTTGCAGAAAAGTGCAAAGAAGTGGGGCTTTCTGTACAGGACATTTAAGTGCTGTCTTGACTGCAATTTGAGCTCATGTCTGTATGACTCCAAAATCTATAAACTTAACCATTATGTTGTAATGCTCTCTTAGAAACATCTGCCTGGAAAGATAGTTTCATCACTGAGTAAGAATTATACAACAGTTGGGGGGGGATAATAAACAACTTGCCTACCTATCAACACGAAACTGGTTAAATTAAAGATAATCCTTAAAGGAGAAAACCATGAAAATAATTATTTGTTGGAAACGAAAGAGAGCTCTGGTGACAGAGTGGGTAAGGTGTTGTACCACCACCCTAAAGGCAAATGGTTTGAGTCTACCAGCTGCTTCAAAAGAAAAAGATGGGCACTCCTCTTGTGTGATTCACAGCCTATGAAAACCTGTAGAGAATCACCTGTGATTTGGATCCAACTCGATGACAATGAGTTGAGTTGAGCTGTTATTTGAAAGGAAAGGCCTAGCTGGATTTTTAACAGGTAATTACAAATATTACACTACTGTCTGGTGGCTTAATGGTAAGGAGATGTGCTGAAATTCCTAAGGCATGAAGTTAAATCCACCAGCTACTCCGCCGGATAAAAATCTGTAATGCCCTCCTGGGTGATTAAACTGCCTCTAAAAACCTACTGAAGGGTCAGACAAGACTCAGGTTAACAACAACATATAATAATTTACATTTATAAAATTATATTCAACCATGATGTACCAACATTTAACTGGTATTACAGGCTAACACTTTATGATTGTATGATTTCACAGTAAGCAATTTTTTTTAAAATAAGAATGTCAAGGAAAGTATTTCCAGGTTGGAGAAAAGGAGAAAAATAAAGACCTTAGTCCATCATAATGGAAGAAAAATTAATATATTACTCTAAGACTAAAAGGGCTCTTACTTCTCATCAGGTGAAATACTGATCCCACTTGCTGAATCAAATCCTTCGGCCACGACTTTAACTTCATTTGGACTATAGTAGATAACATTTGCCCAGTGTAAGTTTAAGTATGTTTCTAAATATTTTAAGAACGTATCAGAGAAATAGTGGTCATTGGTGGCATAGAAATGTGTAGGTCCAACAGCTACAAGATCATTCACGCTGAAAGAGAAATTAATATACATGAAGAAAATCCAAAAGTATTGTTTGTTTCTATGCTAAAGCTTAAGTATCAAGAAAGGGTATATAATGTGCTTTAATTTTTTGGAAGATAAAGGAGCTTTGGTTGCCTAGGGGTTAAGAAGCTGCATTTCCAAGTCAAAGGCAAGTAGCTTAAATCTACCAGTTGCTCTCTAAAAGAAAGATGGGCAATCTCCTCCTGTGTGATTTATAGTGTCTGAAAATCCAATGGAGGGTCAACTACAGGTTGGTTCCAAATAAACAGCAATGAGGGGGTTTCTTTTCTATTTGTTTTTAAGCTTATATCACATCATTATAGCCATATGCTATAACACTGTCTGTCAGAAAATAATTATTACATACTATGCCAGGTAATTTGAAGACAAGTCATTTAGTGCAACTATTCTAAAAAATAAAAAATAATCTGATGCTATCAGGGTATGCTTTTTGATGGCAATAAACATAGTTTTCTGGAATACTGTGCAAGAACAGAGCTGCCCATATTATAAAGATGGATAGTGTCTTGTTGACTGGTGAGCTGGGGAGGCAGTCAATACCATTTTCCCAGCTTCCATTTACTCAGTTGCTGCATTTTCCCAAGTTTCATTGCTTAGTTATTAGTCAAACTAAGCTTGACTGCTCAATTTCTACCCGACTCACAAAGGCAACCTACTGAGAATGAATAAGCACTCAATAAACACTTGCAGAGAGATGGATGATGAAATTGCCACTGCACAATGCTTCAGGTAAGAAATTTCCACAGTAAAAACAATCACATCTTTAAAAGCAGTTAGGCAAAGGTGTTATTAAATTTAAATTGCAATTATCCTATGCAGCAATGTCTGAAAGGACTGCTTTATCCTTTGTTAAGTGAAAAATAACAGAGCTCCAGGGAAGATGGTACCCTCTTTCTGAAGGCTCCTGAATGCCATTCATAATGCCTGAATGGTATTTACGCTATTTATTATCAAGTGCATTTGTGGAAGAATGATCAGAAGTTACACGCTTAAGCCCTTGATTGAAAAGTAGAAATGAAAAATATTCATTAAGTATAAAATAAAAGAAGCAATTGGTTAATGCAAGCTGAGCACTGGAGGTACAAATGGTTCTCTTTCAGCCACATTATCAACTAGGTCTCTATTGTTGAAGTGGCTCCAATCCTCTCACTCGTGTGGGGCCAGAGTCCCCACTAATCCTGTGAAAAGTGAAATCCCATTTACAACCCACACAAAGCAGGCTGCTCTTCTTCAGAAGGATGGGCATTATTAATTCTTTTTGGTGATGGAGGGTGACAGAACTATCAGAGGAGAAAAAAAACCATGACGTCTGTCTTCTACTCTCAAGAAGGACTTGGCAGCCCCTTTCTTCTCTTTTCAGCACCTCTCTTGTCTGTACCCTACATTTATTTCTTTGTTACCAAGGCAAGGCATACAGAGCACTGACACTAACCCTCATATGCCATTATCTCCCTGCTGTAAAAAAAAATCGTCTCTTTTTGATTTTGAAAAGTTGAGAGGACCACCATGCAGTGATATTCGAAAATGCAAAAGGTAAACTGGAGAATAACTAGAACAGAGTTAAGTACCTTGGAAGAAGTTCATGTTCGATGGTTTTGATATGCAAAAGAGAATTGTCTTCTTCTATATATTTAAAAATTTCCACTGTATTCTTGAATTCTGGGTGGTTAACGACAAAGAGATAAACTGTATCATCTAAAAAAAAAAAAAGAAAGAAAGAAGAGAATTCATTTACAAGACATAACCATAGGATCTATGGGCATGTAGTGATATTTAAATACCACCCGGAAGGAAAGGTTGACTGTATAAGCTGTTACACAAGTCCAAGTCTCATTCCTCTTCCCATCTTTCTCATAGCTGTCTAGCTGGCATTATTTCTGATCAGTGGACCCCTGACCTTTCAGAATTTCCCACTCCATCATTAATAACCTGTTCACAGTTCAATTCAGAAATAAAGCCCCTTTAAGTGCTTTGATCCTAAGTATGTGGACAGGTTATGAAATTTAAACCATCCTTCATGTACTGTAAGAAATTTCAAAATGGGGCAAACTTACTGCTGGCTAAGGAAGCAAACCACCAACTGTTCGCATGAAAAAAAAAAAAAAGAGAAATAATGCATGAGCTAATTGTTCTTCTCTCCCAATCAATATGATCCACACGTATTTTCCACAGTTATTTGTAAACCACTGCAAATTTTAATGTTTCAAGCTGATTTGCTCTTACCGTCATCTATAAAAGTGCTGATGCCATGTGGATTAAATGAAGCAAAATTAAAGCCTCGGCTGATTCTTAATTCTAATGCCCGTGGTTTTTCTTCTTTTAGATCCATCATTAGAATCCCTCCAGGTTTATCTGGTGTGAGGCTGTGGAATCCCGGAAACTTCAGACCCTTGTACCAAAACAGAGAGGTAGTGAGAAAAAAGTTAAATAGAATGGCTTGAATATTGTAATGAATTAAAATGAAGGCTACACATACATGCTAGAGGGTTTGGATCATTCATTAAGGAAATAAATGATAGCTGCGTAAAGATACAAACAAGGAGTTGAACAACATATAATTGGAAGCTGGAAAGTTGAATAATAAATTTTGCTGAAATGGGGCAGAAGATGGAGTTTATTCTCTACAGAAGGTAAAACATTAAGTATATCAACAAGCAGGGGATAGTGGGCAGGAAGTTCAGAGTGGAAAGAAGTGTGAGTTTCCATATGACAAACACAAGCTTTCAATTTGCTCCCCAAATGCCAGAAATCTTGGTCAGTAGAGTAATTAATCCTTTCCTTGTCTTATAGCCAGCCCATTTCCACTCTACCAGAAACCCCTGTTGATTTTCCCTTGAAAAATACACCCAAATCATAAGGACATAAACGTTTCTCACTACTTTCCCCATGACTGCAATGATCCCGACCCCCATCACTTGTGAATACATCATTTGGTGTCTTACTGGTCTTTCTGTTTCCTTAACCTGCTCCGGTCTATTCTAAAGTCATCATTCATATTCTATTAGGTTATGCCACATCTCATAACAACAACAACAACATGCCACATCTCTACTCAAAACTTTCTAGTGCCTTTCCAACTCATTAAGAGTAAAAGAAACATCTATGACTGCCTGAAGGCAACCTGATCAATCTGCTGTTCTCACCCTCTATTCCTCTCCCCAACCCAAACACCAACACTCAAGGTAGGGAAGAAATTGTGCTGTCAACCTAAAGGCAGGCACTTCAAATCCACAGGTGGTCTGAGAGAGAAAGATGGGCAATCTTTTCTGGTGCTAGTCACAGCCTCTGAAATCCCTCTAGAGTGTGAACCATGAGTCAGTTCTGACTTAATAGCCCATAATAACAACAACAACACACCTCTACTAATCAACTTATCGGAGCTACTATGGTTCTGGTGGCCTAGCGGTTAGAAACTGTGCTGCAATCCCAAAAGCAAGCGGTTTGAATCCACCAGATGCCCCACAGGACAAGGATGGGCAATTTCTTCCCGTGCTATTAACTGCCTCTAAAATCCTGCTGGAGGAAGGTCAGCTAAGGGTTGATTCTACCTTGGTGGTTGTTACATGCTGCTAAGTTGCCTGTGACTCATAGACACCCTATGTACAACAGCTCTGAAGCCTGCCCTGTTCTGACTGAGCCAGTCTCACTGACACACCTGCCACTGACACACCTACTCCCCACTGCCCCTCTACTGTATCAATCCATCTCATCCAGGGTCTTCCTCTCCTGCGCTGTCCCTCCACCTTTCCAAGCATGATATCCTTCTCTAAGGGACAGTCGCTCCTGGCCATGCGCCCAAAATGTGTGAGATGGAGCTTCAAAATCCTAGCCTTCAAGGAGAAACCTGGCTTCACCCTTTCCAAGACAGACAGACTTATTTGTTTTCTTGGAGGTTCACGGTATGGATGTTCAAAACTCCTTTCCAGTACCACACTGTACAACAACAATATGATCATTCTAGCCTTGATATTCCTCAATTCAACACATTCTCACTCTGGTCATTCATATACACAGTTACTTCCACCTAGGAATGCTTTGCCTCCAGAGAACTAGGACTCCCCCTCTCTCAATTTCTTCATGTATGTGCCCAAAAGTTACCTTTTAAATTATGTTGTCTCCAACCCAAACAACCCTGTTCCTGCTATTCCCCATCCTGCTTGACCTTAACACCATGAAATACACACACATATTTATACATACGTAAATATCATCAATGAAGGGGCTTCCAAGCCCTCCAGCAAGTCTTGTGAGGCAACTCCTCACAACAAGCTCAGCTCCTCTCAGACCTTCTGGTCCTCTTCTTTCTGCCTCTAAGTCTCTTCCCCTAAATGTGAAGACTCACTCTTTGCCGCCAATGGATTTCAGGTCAAATGTCTCCCTTTTCAGAGAGACTCTATCCTAAAGTGGTAGCAGAACCCCACTCTTCTTATCATCTCATCTTCTTTATGTTTTGGTTAAAGCTTTTATACCACCTACTGTATTTCTAGTAGCTTAATGGTAAGGAGTTGCACTATTAATCCAAAGACACTCAGTTCAAAGCCACCAATGGCTCCACAGAAGATGGACAACCTCCTACCATGCAATTTTCTGCCTCTGAAAACCTGCTAGAGGCTCAGCTGTGAGTGGATTCTGACTCGATGGGACCTAACAACAATAAATGTATATTTGTTCAATATTTGTCTCTCCCCCTTGAGATGCGAGCTTTATATGAAAGCTGGAATTTCCCCCCTCATTTTGTTTACAGCTAGTTATTGGTACCTGGAACCATGTCTGGCATTAGGTCCACCTCTGTTCCACTAATTCTACCTTTATCATGCAGTAGATCCCCATCTGCATACTGGTCTATTTGATAATTCTATTTCGTTCTATTAATTCATCATGCCGAGTCCGGTGTTAATATACTACTTTCTAAATTACTACGGCTTTACAACCCACTGTGATACATAGAGTGACATTCCCCACATTCTTGCTGCTTTACTTTTTCAAAATAGTCTGAGCTATCTTTGCTAACTTACTATTAAGAATAAATGTTAGAAATTAAATTGATATTCTGAATAGAACCAGTTACTAACAGTCTATTTTCCAGTTAATTTTTGTTAGTTCATGGGAAAGTCAGATTTTCACATGTTTGTTTTGAACCCAACCATTTCATAAAACTTACCTCTTCATTTCATTTCATTACATTAGTTTCTTAGACTGCTTTAAAAAAGAGGTATTTACATTGTTTTAAATGAATGGAATTGTAATCTAATTTTTTACCTTACATTTTTATTTTATATTGATAGCTGTAGTGTTGGTGACCATTTTCTTCTTATGTTGTACATTAACAGTATGTAGATATGTAATGTTTCACCAATAAAGATTCTATTTTGCTGCAGGATTCTGGGAAATTTCCTTCTATTTCTAGTTTATTTGAAGCTGGTAGCCTAGTAGTAAGGAGTTATCACCAAAGGCATGTGGTTTGACTCTATAACGTGCTCTGAAGGAGAAAGATGGACAATCTCCTTTCATGTAATTTACAGTCTCTGAAAACCCATTGGAAGGACAGCTATGAATTGGTTTTGACTCAATGGCACATAAAAACAACAACAGTAAGGAATGAGTACGGCATTTTATTATGTGCTTTTCAGCACTCATTATGATAACTGAAGTCTTTTCTCTTTTAAATCAACTAATTAGGAAATTATAATACTGATTCTTTCTGACACTCTTAAGCTGAAGTCTTCCTGGTAATAATGTGACTTTTTAACACACTGTTCTACTAAATGACATCACACACTATTTTGTGCAAATTTAAGAGTGTAAAAGGCGCAGTAAAATATCACATTTGCACAAAATCCTTTCAATGTTGAAAAAAATCTATCAACAATGAGATCATTTCAAAGCTCATAGGCCCAATAAAGAAAAGAAACTGGAGTTAAACTATCATCAAGAAGCTCTGAGAGCCCAAGTGGTTAAAGTACTCAGTTGAGAAAAGGAAGTTCTAACTCATCCGCTTCCAAGATTTCAACCTTGGAAACTAGATGGGTCAGTTCTTCCCTCGATGGTTGCTATGGGTTGGAATGGACTTAGAGACAGTGGGTTTGCTTTGCTTTTATACTATAGCCACATGACAGAGGCACTTCAGCTGTTAAAGATCTCCATTCATCATTATTCTCTCAAAAACATCATTTACATGCATAGAAAGTTCTACTAGTGATATGGACAAGGAAGACTGAATGTTCCCTGTTATTGCAATCATTTCACAATCTCTAGCAATGTCACCTAAACACTCATTAAGCATTGTATTAGTTATGAGGTAACCCTGAAACACAGCTGTGGAATAAGATGGTTTAGATGGGCTAAAATGCTAAGAGGAAGGTCAAATAAACAGTCATAAAAGTCCACTGCTATCAAACCATTACACTTTGGGCATGCTGCAGGAGGTGCCAGTCCTTGGAAGAAGACATGATGCTGGAAAAGGCAAAGGGTCAGAGAAAAAGAGGAAGACACCCATGAGACAGACTGACACAGTAGCCCTAAGAACAGTCTCCAGCGTTATCAGAGATGAGGACAGTGCAGCATAAGGCAAGCAAGGTTCAAATGTGTTGTTGACTATAAGTCGTAGTCATATCTTTGTGCATATCTTCAGGAAGAACCAGTCTATGCAGGGAGAAATCATGATGGAAAAGGTAGAGAAAGGGTCAGTGAAAGAGAGGAAGATGCTTTAAGAGATAGACTGACCCAGTGACTACAACCTGACAGATTGTAAGGATGGCACAGAATAGGGCTGGGCTAAGTTCTACTCTTCACAGAGTCACTATGAACCATAGTGACCTCAGCAGCATCTAACCCAGAGCCTTCTACTTTATTCAGGCTTTCTGCATCTTAATATATGAGCAATTTTGACCTGCAATTTCAGTGTATTTCCGAAGCCTCTAGATATGGTACAAACATGAGCATCTAAATAAACCCAGTCTCACTCTATTAGTCGGGTAATTAAATAAAACTTTTCTTTTAAAACTATCTTTTTTCTACTAAGTATACATTTTCTTTTTTTGGCCAGAGCTCACAATATTTCTTTTTTCCTCTCAGTGGTAACAACCTGCAGCTCGGCGTTTCATATAATAACCATAGGAGACTCAGAAGTGTCCTAAACCTCATTCTCTTCTAAGATGAATTCTCTCACCTTGCTCTTACATCTCACAACTATTTTATTAGTGCTGAGACTCTCTTCTAAAGGACCTCCAACTTTTTCACATCCGAGTTGCAGAGCCTGAAAATAATGGATGCTGAGAGGGAACAAAATAATTGTAGGCCACCTTCAGCAATGGATCTATTCTTTCTCAAAAACTACTGGAGCTGCGAAGAAGCCCAAGACTCTCACTGCTGCCCAAACAAGGAAAGCAGCGGGCCAGAACCTCCCACCAGCCCACTTTCGTGGATTTCCAATCAGCACAGAAGTCAGTGCACACCAGCATCACTAAGACTATCCATTGTCAGAGTCTTTTTATTCTACATCAAGGATATTTTTCCATTTAGAAGAATGAAAGCTGAAGCGAAGGGTATAAACAAAGTTAAGTCAATGGCTTTCCACTTATGGTAGGCTAGTCAGAAAGACAAAATAAAGGGGAAAATAAACACATAATAAAACAACTTCTTTGTTCAGGAGAGCTGGTATAGGTTATCTCTCACTTTTCAAAAGGCTCCTTAAGGCACTTTGCTTTTATGAAAAACCTGTATTAGTACTAGCTATTGCTAACCTAAAGAAACTGAAGAGGATGTCACCGTTATTTTTTTTTAAAGAGGCAAAAAGCTAAAGTTAAGTTTAGCAGTTAGTCACGAAAAAGTCAAAGCAGCTCTGCATCTGAGCACAGGATCTACACTTAGCACTTCAGTATAAATCACCATGTTGTTCTTTTGCACCATCAAGTCACCTATGACTCATAGCAACCCCATGGACAATAGCTATCAACTCCACCCTGTCCTGAGCCAGTCTCACTAACTCCAACACACCTAACTTCATTGTCCCTGTAACTGAGTCAGTCCAGATTATCTGGGATCTTCCTCTCTTGCAATGCCCCTCCTCTCTTTCAAACATGATGTCCTTCTCCAAAGACTAGTTCCTCCTGGCCACATGCCCAAAGCATATAAAACAGAGCTTCAAAATCCATGCCTTCAAGGAGCAGCTTGGTTTCTCCCTCTCCAGGATAGACTTTGAATTATGTCTGTGAGCACATAAGAGTTATGTTGGGCTATATGTGTAGCTTTACAGGTTCCTTTTAGGGTCTAAAAATGCTCAAAATTTTCCTATATAAATTAACACTCTATTCTTTGCTTTATGCAATTTCTGTTTACACAAGGCTTCATAGGAACACATTATTCTTGGACAGTGGGTGACAACTGCCTACTGTCAAGCAATATATAATGTTGTTGTTGTTATGTGCCGTCGAGTCGTTTGCGACTCATAGCGACCCTATGTACAACAGCCCTAAACCCTGCTCTATCCTGTGCCAATCTCATTGCCTCTGACACACCCATCCCGACTACCCCAGTCACTGAATCAATCCACCTCATAGAGAGTCTTCCCCTCCTGCGCTGTCCCTCCACCCTCCCAAGCATGATGTCCCTCTCCAAGGACCTGTCACTCCTTACAACATGTCCAAAGTATGTCAGACGAAGCCCTAGAATCCTTGCCTCCAAGGAGTAGCCTGGTTTAACCCTCTCTAGGGTGAATCTGTTTGTTTTCTTGGCAGTCCATGGTACATTCAATACTCTTCTCCAGCACCACAGCTCAAAGGCGTCAATTCTCCTTCTATCCTCCCTAGTCATTGTCCAACTCTCTGATGCATAACAAGTGATTGCAAAAACCATGGCCTGTATCAGGCGCACCTTAGTCTCCAGAGAGACGCCACTGCTCTTGAGTACTTTAGAGAGGTCCCTAACTGCAGACTTTCCCATCGCAATACGTTATTTGATTTCCTGGCTACTGTTGCCAAGAGTGTTGACCATGGAGCCAAGCAAACTGAAGCTGTGAACAATCTCAATCTCTTCACCATCCATCCTGATGCTACTGATTGGTCCAGTAGTGAGAATTTTTGTCTTCTTGACATTGAGCCTCAGTCCATATTGAAGGCTGCAGTCCTTGACCCTCTGCAGTAAGTGCATGAGGTCCTCCTCAGTTTCAGTTAAGAAACTAAGAGTTTTTGTCTAAAATGGAGTATCTAATGAGAAAAAGTATGGATGTTGTCTTTAATGCAGTAAAATGATAGGATCAAATGTTCTGAATAATGTCTCATAGATCTTTTTTTGGTTGCATACTTTGCACATGCTGAATGAGCTAGCGTATTTTAATGCAGAGGAGGAAATAAAGAGCAATAAATCAAGTGGCAAACACTTTTTTCTAGCTCAATCTTTAGATAAGCTTGAGGGCATTTCCCAAGACCCTGTTAGACTTCTCTTTTTACTAAGGTACACTTCAGAAAGTGATGGAATTTTGAAACTGGTTACTGATCCTCAGGCCTGATCAAACATCTTCAACCCTCCACTGCCCGGCTTGGGGGAGGGGCTACTCACCACGCTGAAGAAAGCCAGGCCATTAGGAAGAATGTCGATATCTTCAGAGCCAGCTTCTGTAAGTTCAAGGAACAGGCAAACGTCATGTTCAAATTCTGTTATTTGTGAGACAGTGTATAACAAGGTCTTTGTTTACTTCATCAGCATGATGACTACATTTTAAGGGAAGGTTCTGGGTTGTTTTGGCTTTTTTTTTCCCCCAAGGAAGCATTCTATTTCATAAATGTCAGCTTAAACTCCTTCCTGCAGTGACCTTCTGACTTTAAATATTAGATATTGTATGTTTACGCAAATCAAAGTCAAGTAATCACCACATTTACAGCAACAACATGGAAGAAGTTGACATCTGTATGCTCTTATGATAAACATCCAGATGTCTGTCTAAAAGTAATTGACATCAGGGGAATATTACTTTCAGAAGGAAGGACTCATAGTCACTTAACCATGCAAACACCCTGTCCCCTCCTCTGCTCATTCCAACTGATGCAAACGTAGACAATTCTCTCATTAACAGACATCAAACACCTGGGATCACACATTCCCTCTGAAAACAACGCCTGCTTGTTCTCATAAGCAAAGAAAGCTTTCCGCTTAATCTTTAAATTTAAGCTTTAAATTACGTGGGTGTGGGCCAGGAAAGAGAACTACAGCAAAAGAAAACGAATGAAAAAACACCATGTACCTAAACCAGATGAAGCTTCTGACTCTTGTCTCTAAAGCAGGCTACAATTACTATTGATTGTTTATTGATTGTCTGCAGTACATGCCACACAGCCCAGGGAATAATTAGGCACAAGGCCTTCCCTGGAGTCGTACTGTGTAAATTCGGCAGATAACAGACCCAAATACAAGAAAAGAGGAAAAATGGCTTAGATTAAGCCAAATCATGATGCATTCTTTGAGTCACCAAAATCCAATCTTCCCCTTTAAGACTGCTCCAAAGGATTTCTTCAAGATTATTTCTAGATTGTCAAAATGATCCATCCAGCCTTTTTGCTTTTGATTCATGAGTTTGAAGTTGGTCTATTGCCTCAAGTGTTGCTGTCTCTATCACAGCAGGGGAAATAAAAATTAGAAAGATGGGCCAAGAGCTTCACTTTGTAAATAATGAACCATATACCTATTTCCTGGAAGTACTATAGGTAAACACTGCAGAAAGGGATAGTAGAAGGATTTTTATAATCTGGGATGTGTCTGCCCCAACGAGAGCAAATAAGCTTCAAAGGGTCTAAAAACCCCTTAAAATTCTATGTAAAATTTCTTAGGTTTACACAGAAAAAGATTTTTCTGTGAATGGATTCCTTGGCTTTCAAAAGATTAAAACATAAGTCTGTAATCTGTTAACATGACTTAATCTTAGAAGTGGTCCCAAACTGAAAACGAACAGCACTTGTAAACACTGCTACACACTCATTTACTCTCTCTCTCACTCAAATTCTAGCCCAGTTTTGCTTTCTAGACGCAGTCAGTTGGAGCTTAATTAATGAAAACTCACTTTTCCAGGAAACATTATTTCAAAAAAATAATTCAATGTGTTATATATTTAAATTTATAAAGCAGGGGGAAAGATTATTTAAAAATATTAACAGTGCTTCTTTGGGTAGATTTGGAGTGATTTTTGGTGGTTTTTAAAAAATATTTTTCATTGTTTAAATTATTCTGAAAAAGCTCATTCCTGTTGAGTTGGAGCCGACGCATAGCTGACTCTCCCTTAGGTTTCTGAGGAAATAAATCACATGGAAGGAGACTGTCCATCTTTCTCCCAAGGAGCAGCTGAAAGATTCAAACCACTTGGGTAGGTATTGCAACTCCTTACCACTAAGTCACCAGAGTCTCTCTTTGTTGTTGTTTTTATGTGTCTTAATAAGTATTATTTTAATATTTCAAAAACTCAATAATTTTACAAGGACTTTTCATTTCAACCATATTGTTAATTCCTTCCTAATAATCCTGCTACTTCAGTAATTTCAATTAAATATGAGTTATATCAATAGTTTTCCTTCTAGAATTTTCCATATTCTCATAGGCACTATCAGAAAGTTCTGGTCACCTAGTGGCAAGAAGCAGTGCTCCAATCCCAAAGGCACACAGTTCAAATCTACCAGCTGCTCCATGGGAGAAGGATGGGCAATGTCCTTCCTTGAGATTAACTGCCTCTGAAAACCTGCTGGAGGGTCAGCTATGGGTTAGATCTGACTGGATGGTGTACAACAACAACAACAACAACAACAAAAATTAGTTAGGTTTACAGCACTTCATATTACCTATTTGATCTGATAATTTCAAGAACAATCAAATAATGATGATGACAACTACTAATAATAAATACTTGGGCTAGTGTGTAGGGTACTGCACTGCTAACTCAAAGTCCAAATCGCTGGTGGTTGGAATTCATTAGCTGCTCCACAGGAAAAATATTGGCAAACTTTTAGAATGTTATCAAAGCTTGGAAATCCTCTGGACAGTCAGTCATGAATCAGTTTTAACTCCAAGACAATGACTTAACTTACCAACACTTTGAAAGTGCCCTTTATAAACACACATATACATACAGGGATCTGGTGGTTTAGTAATAAGGAGCTGTGCTGCCAACACAAAAGCCAGCAGTTCAAACCCATCAGGTGCTCTGTGAAGGAGAATCAATCATGAATCAATCTCGCTTGCTCTCCAAGGTATACAAGTGTTCAGGTCTTTCGTTCATATGGTTGCTATGAGTCATCTATAACTCTACGGCACTTAACAATAACAACAGCAACAACACACACATGCGCGCGCGCGCGCGCGCACACACACACACACACACACAATCTTCACACACTCACATAATTTTCAAACCCTAAGAGGCACTACTGATACCCTGGTAACAGGAGTTAAAAAATCAAAAGACACATTGCATTGGGATAATCTGCTGTCAAGAACCTCTCCAAAGTGCTAAGGAACAAAGATGTCAATTAAAAGACAAAGGTGTGACCAATCCAAGCCATCATCTTGGGTGTGTTTTTTTTTTAATTTGATATTAGTTTGCTTACAAAATTCATATACATTGTATTTCACACACTATCTTTCATTCACATTGTGTTTCATACAATTATTCCCTTTCATGTTTTATAAAATTAATCACCTTTACCCAGTCTTTCTAGACCTCTGATGGATGTTTCTCATTTCTTTACTCCCACCAAATTGTGCAATGCTATTATTTCCCCCTGCTTAGCCTGACCCCTCTTTTCTCATCCCTCCCCCCACCTTGGATCTTTAAACACATTTTACTAGCTATCTTTCTATTTCTACAATGATGGTCTTGTGTATGCACTTATGAGGCTGAATTAGTTCACTCAGCATAATGCTCTCTAGTCCTTCCCAAATTATGTAATAATCTTCAAAACTGTTGCTCCTGAGTGCTGCATACTATTCCATCATGTAAATGTACCACAATTTTGCAATCCATTCAATTGTAGTTGGACATGTAGGCTGTTTCCTCCATCTGTTTTTCAGTTTTAATTTTCTCTGGGTATATTCCAAGCAGTGGAATTGCTGGGTCATATGAAATTTCTATGTTCAACTTTTTGAAGAAACACCAAAGTACCTTACAGAGTGGTTGTACCATTTTACAACCCTACCAACAGTGTATGAGAGTTCCTATCTCTCTGCATCTTCTCCAAGTTTTATTACTTACTGTCCTGTTAAACTTTTGTCACTGCTACTGGGGCGAGATAGTATCTCATTGTGATTTTGATCAGTTACATCCAATGTATCCAATTAATAAGGATGACAGAAGAAGAGCCGATGCCTTTGAGAAGAGTACTGAATATCCCATCAATTGGCAAAAGAATAAGCAAATCTGTCAAGGAGGAAGGACACTTCTCAGAGGAGAGGATAATAAAGCTCCATCCCACATACTCTGGGCATGTTGTCAGGAAAGAGTAATCCTTGGAAAAAGGCATCTTGCTTGGAAAGCTGGAAGGTCAGAGAAAGAGAGGAAGATCCTCAAGGAGATGGGCACTGACTGTAATACTGGGTTTGAGCATATCGGAGATTGCTCAAGGATTGAACTTGGGATTGAAAAAAGTTCAGATCTCTTGTTTAGAGAGCTGGTATGAGTCATAGGTGACTTGATGTCACCTAACAACAATAAGAAGAAGAGACAATCAATATTAGTATTCTTGGTTTTTTACTTGAGAATATGGAGCTATTGAAAAGTTAAGCAAATTGTTTCTACATATGAACTACAAATTGTGCGACTGAGATACAAATAATTTTGATCAGAATTAAAAAGTGCATCAAAATACTCAACCTAATATTTAATAAATACTTCATCTAAAACATCCGTTAGAATCATCTCTCCAGATAATTCCTTTAGTAAATTCCATTGTGGTCAAGTTCTTATATTTGTTTACTTCCCTGCCCCCAATTTGTGCTTCCATGCTGTCATGAAGAATCATTTTCCTTACTTCTCTGAACAACCCATATTCCTAACTTCTTTCTTTAAAACTCTGTCAAGATCCTTTTTCTTTAGAAAGCCTTCCTAGCTTAGCACATCCAATTCTGATGCTTTTTTATTCCTTTAAAAAGTGTGTATTTATGCAGAAATCACCAACTCTCCCCCCATATTCACATTTCCCTTCTTTTTTAGCAATACACCCAGCATAGCAACAGAGATCTTCCAAACGTTCTTGCTGCAGACAGCGATCTGTCTACGTTTGAGTCAATGAGATGTGAGAATGCCTGACATATGCCATAACTAACAAAAAAAAAGAATTTCCATATACTTTCATTTTCTATTCCTACAAGTCTGAGAAATGTAACAACTTGGGGTTTGGCCTTGAACCAAGATGGAAGGAGTAAGTTGAAGATAGCTGTACTGCTTCCGAGACATCATGCTGGGAAAAGTGGACGGTCAGAAAAAGAGAGGAAAACTATCCACTAGGTGGATGGACAGTGGTTGATAAGAGTGGGCTCAAGCGTATGTGAGATTGTGAGGACGAAGCAGGATCAGATCTGTTGATCACAGGGTCACTATGAATTGTGGTCGACTGGACGGCACCCAAAACAACAAGAG